CCCGGAATTCCAGGTGAGAGTTGTAGAATCTTCTCACGTATTGTGTGGAGGGAACACTTGTTATTGCTGTCTTTTTGATTTGTAGCAGTCATTGTAGTGGGTGTGGAGTGCTCTATTATTATGATTTTTGACTTGTTCCTCATCACTGTTGCTGTCGAACCTCTTTTCATTATCTTGTCAGCCATTTATCTGTCTTCTTTAGAGAAATGTCTATTCAAGGTGTTTACCAATTTTTTTGTGGTGTTTATCTTTTTATTAGTGAGGACTTATTCTCTATATATTGTCGAAACAAGTCCTTAATCATAGATAGGATTTACAGGTATTCTACCAGTCTGTGGCTTGTCTTTTTCATTTTCTTAATGGCATCTTTTGAAGAGTAAACATTTTTGATTTTGGTAAAGTCCAATTTATCAAATTTCTGTAATATGGATCATATCTTTGGTGTCATATATAAAAAATCTTTGCCTAATTCATGGTCATTAAGATTTCCTCTTATATTTTCTTTTGAATGTTTTATACTTCTTACACTTAGGTCTATAATCCATTTTGGATGTCTGATGTGAGGTAAGGGTCAAAATTCATCTTTTTGCATGTACATATCCAATTATCCCAGCACAAGTTGAAATTTATTTTTTTCCCATTAAAACACCTTAATGTCTTTTTTGAAAATCAACTGACGATAAATTTAAGGGTTTATTTCTGGACCCTCAATTTTGTTACATTGACCTAATGTGTATCCTTAGGCTAGTACCACTCTGTCTTAATTACTGTAGCTTTATAATATATTTTGAAAATAAGAAAAGTCCTCCCAATCTTCATATTTAAAAAATCACTTTGGTTTTACTTCCATATAGACTTTAGTGCCTGTTATCAACTTTATAGAAAAAAAAAAGGCCTGCTGAAATTTTAATATCGATTGCATTAAATTTATGAATCAATTTGGGGAAATTAAACATCTTAACAGTACTGAGCCTTGTAATCGAAGACTGTGGAATGTCTTCCCATTAATTTAGACCTTTTAAAATTTCCCCCAATATTATTTTACAGTTTTTGTTGTACATCTTGCACTTCTTTTGTTCAGGTTGCTAAGTACTTTATTTTCCTACTATTTTTAACATAGAATTACTTTCTTAACTAAATTTCATTTTTGGATTTTTCATTGCTAGGATAGAGAAACTTGGTTTTTGTATGTGAATCTTGCAGTATTGTGAACTTGCTAAATTTGTTTTTAGTTCTAGTAGATTATTTTAAGTTTCTTAAGGTTTTCTATATCCTGGAATATGTCATCTGAAAATAAAGAGTTTTGCTTCTTACTTTTCATTCTGATTTAATCCAGTTGAGTGATGAAGAAAAGCCCCAAGAGACCAGCTCTGCAGCAGGCTTAGCATGGAGACACTAGAAACTGGGGCATGATGATTAGGTCTGCAGTAGAAGAGTCTTAAGCCAAAAAGGGGACTGGATAGATTATGATAGCGTATTTGGGGAAAAATTAAGAATCCGTATTTAGCAAACTGCCAAAGTAATGAGGCAATTCTTCAGTAAGGACTTCACACATAAATGATGGTATAGCTGTACAACTTACTAATCTACATTCATGAAAGAGAATGAACATAATTATGAGTTTAGATTTCCAAAGATGGAAACCACCTTCCCAGCCTCATTTGCAGCTATGTAGGCCTGCCAATCAGATGCAGGTCTTGGCCAGTAGACATCTTCTGGTAAGGGTAAGAGCAGTGGCATCTTGAGCTGGGAGGCAGCAGGGGTGGAGCTTCCGGGGGCTAGGTGGCATTGTCATTAGCACAGGCAGTGTCAGTGTTCACAGCACTGACGACTTCATCAAAGCGCCCTCTTCCTGCTGTGGTTAGGATGCTGTCTTTGGCTGCTGGGATTGTGACACTCTCTCGGAGGTTCTTTGTGCTACTTAATCCCTTTTCTTTTTAAATTCCTTAGAGTGGGCACTCAGTTTACAAGAAAAACCCCTGATATATACAATTTCCAAGGTATGTGGAAACACCAAGGTATAAAAGAATACACTTCTATGTTTAAAAAAAATACATGTATGTTTTGTGTAGAATTTTATCTCTAGAATTTGGTAATAGAAGTTGCCCCTAGAAAAGGGGGCTGAGAGAAAGAAAGGAGCTTGAATTTCCATGTTTTTGTGTGGTATGAACTTTGTAACCCATACATGGCAAAAATAATGAGAATAAAGGTGTAGTGAAGCCACTGGAAGATATTAAGGGAACTGCATGATATGCTGTGTTTGGAAAGCTCATTGAGGCAGCTCTGTGAAAGATGGACTGGAGGGAGTAGCCAAGAGTAGTTGGGAGCAGAAAACATACAACCAAATGATTATAGTGATTCAAACAAGTGACAGGGTTATGAAGGCAGTGGTAGTAAAGACAGAGGAGGAAGTGAGTTTGAGCTGTTGAAAGGACAGATCCAAAGGCTTGACTGTTCATATTGGGAAGTGTATCAGCTGGGGTTCAATCAGAGCAGAACCATATTAAAAGGGATTTGTTAAGTGGATTCAAGCTTTCCAGTTGTGGGAGTGGTTAAGCAATCTCTGTAAGGCTGTTACCTTTGAGTCTGATGCTAGAACATCAGTCTAGCTAAACTGGGGACTGGCTCAGGAGGTTTTAATTTTGATAGGGAATCCTTGAGGCAGTGGTTTAAGGGTAGGGGCAGCTGGCTCTCTAGTGAAAGATGTTGATATGCATTCACAGACTCTCTCCCTCATAGTAATTTTTCAAATAAAGCATTATAAAATCCAAGTTGTAAATGGTAGAGCCACGTACCATTCAGTGGGTGCCTACTATGTGTGAGGCACTTACATGTAAAGTGACTATATGATTTAATTCTCACAAAACTCCTGAAAGTTTGGCACTATTATTACCATTACATAAGGTGAAACAGAGATAAGGTGAAATCTGAAGTCAGGCTAAGACAGGTGGCAGGTCTAGGGATCAAACTTCTCTACTACCAATAACCTGGGTATGGGGAGAAAATGAAACTGCTGAAATTGATTTGAGTCACTATTGTCTCATGTCTCACAAAGATGGTACACAGTACATTCTATATGGATTAAATATGTTAATTTATTACATACAGTGTATGCTGTAGGGGTTTAGTGCTTAATTCTTTTTCAGGAACCTGTATAAAGTGCCAAACTCAGCTGGAGTTTCAGGAAGGTTCTCAGGAACCACTGATGAAAGTATAAACAGGAAGTGAATGGTCTGGGAAGGAGAAGTTAAGCTGTGAATTTCAATCGCCTAAACTGAATAAAGTCTGGAAAATTTCTGTAGAATTCAGTCTCTTCAAGACCCCCAACAAGCAGAATGCCAAAGAAATTAAATTTGGCCTATCTGAAGGCTCTTCCCATCTTATAAATCTAACACAACATTTTAAAAAAGATAATTTAATTCTTAAAGAAATGATACATGATTATTTAAATGTGAAAATCATATCTAATAAACTGGTATTAGTTTCAAGAACAAGAGGACATCTTACTGCCATCACAGTCACTTCCCAAGGAACCCATTTCAGTGAAGGTTGGGAGCTGACTGCAGTCCTGGTCGCTGCCATGAGCCACTCCTTGGCTGCTCTTCTCGTTTACTGAAGAGTGGGTCCCCCCATTTGAGTGGGTCCATTAAAAGAAAAGTCCATTGGCTTCCACGCATGTCGTGACCACAGCTTAGAGGTAGGCACAGAGCTGCTCCAGCTGCCTGGGATTCCTATTACTTAGGAACAGCAGCTCCTTTTTCCCTTCTTCTGTATGAGCTAAAATGGAGTTGAACACAGGTAACTGGCAGTTTTCTCCTGCAACACTGTTACCCAGCAAACTCTGTAGTCAGAGGCTGCATTATCTGGGTTACATTCCGATGTAATTAGCACTCCCAAGAGACCTCACTTCTAGACCCTTTTACCCCCCCCCCAGTATTATTTTTTTCTATGCATAATTTCCTTTTGTCTCTATTCCTCCAACCCAGTGTCTTTCTCTCCCTCTGTTCCAAGAATATCCTCTGGACTTTTAGGACTTTGTCAAACCTCCCAATGCCCTTAGAAAGCTCACTACTGTGGTTCCCAACCCACCATGTTGCAGCTGCTTTATACTCTTCCCCTAATAACCTACTCCAATTGCAGCTAATTCTCTATTATCTGGTGATAGAACAGCCTTTCCTTTTCCTCTACAACCCTTAACCCCCAACCCACACCCAGAACCAAGGGCAAGGCTAAAATGAGCAGCTGCAATGCTTTCATATAATATACTAGGACAGGTACAGCAAGGATTTGGTCTGGTGGAGTAGCCTCTCACACAGTTATCAATTATTCTGGGGGTGTCCTAGCATAGGAGTCTCCCAATCCAAGTTTGTTGAATGATGGATAAATGCAGCAATGAGAGGGTGGCAGCAACCCAAGCACCTGGAAACTGCCAGTGGCTGGGCTTGGTCTGGCCTCCCCTGTTAGCATGAGCATCTTACTCTAGACTAAGATGACAATTTAGGGAGAGATATAATACCTTTCATAAGTTAAACTTTAACCACTCCCCAATCCCACACCTTCTGTACCATCTAATCAACCAGAAGTCAAGATACAGGACAAAAAGATGAAAAACAAATTACAGGCTGCTGCTGAGGGAAGAAGAAATCAAGGCTCTGATTCAGTGGGATTCTGTGAGCACAAAGCTCTGATAGGGAAAAATTAAGCAACTGACCGTTCTCGTGTTGAAGCCAATTGTTCTCCAAGTAATACTGAATACAACTTTCAAATTCCTTTGGGTTATACTTGGAAACGAGGATGGGAATAAAGGGATCCAGGGCATCAAATCCTTCCTGGAGAAGAAGCATAAAGACACAGTATTCATTAAGTGACAAATCAGCAGAGAGATCAATTTTATTTAAACACGTTGAGGGTTAGGCCTTTGCTTTTGTTCTATTCTACTCTGCACTGTCTGGCTACCCTCCCTGATACAGGTAGTGGCTGGCTACTGTTCAATGTGGCCACAAATATTGTTTAAAAAAGAGCTAATGCTTGAAGGAGAGATGCCACTTTCTGACTTAATAGTCAACAAGAGTTTTGATAACTCATATACTTAAAAACAGAACAAACAAAACAAATAAGGATGGGGAAAAAGACCCTAAATGGAATATAAACTGAAACAAATGAATCGAACTGTGTTTCAGACTTCCAACGTAACACTGAAGGCAGGAGGGAAACTAACCCAAACTAACTGCTGAGCAGAGTATCTGAACTAAAGACCCTTAGTCTAAAGACAAAAGCTACTCTAAAAGAAAGGATGCCTTCCTGCATCATCAGCTCAAGGTGAGGCCATTGAGGTCTTCTGGGAAGTGCCAAACCTAAGCCAAATTGCCAGGGAGGCAAGGTCTCCCTCCCTCCCAGCATCTTCCTTTTTTCACCCATATGGCACTTTCCACTCTTCTCATCTTTTATTTGGGACTCTGTGGCCTGCCTTTCCCCTAGATCCACCATCTTCTGCCCAACAAATCTTATCACCCTCTGGCCTCTTCATCAGCACTGCTTTTGCAGTCACCCTTGTAGGAAGGAAGCTGGGGAGGACGTGTATGATGATTTGATGGTCACAAACTGCTTTACCAGCAGTGGAGTCTCTCAAGACTTGGGGCCATCCTCTGTGGTGGACAGGACAGGAAGACTGTTCTGATCCTCAGTGTCCTGAGATTCACAGAGGCGGAGACTTGCCTAAAGTCACAATGCTGGCTTAAACCTACAGGTCCAATTCTGGTTCCCAGTATCTTTTCAGCTGTACTTTGCTTCTCTAACGATAAAGTTCGTGTGAACATTTAATGTTAAAAACAAAAACAAAAACAAAAAACCTAAAAGATACTGAGCTCTAAATAAAAAAGTAAAAAAAAATTTTTTTTGAGTTCTAGTTCACAGCTTCTTTTTTAGAGTCAAGGGTTAGTAATTCTGAAACTACTTTTACTGTAATCTAAGATTAAGCTAATAGTAAATATAGTGTAAATAATGAGAGCAGATTTCTTATCGTTGGAGATGAGGGTTACAAATATGGAAAGGGGGGAGGATATAACGAATGTTGTGATGCTAGCCTGAACTGGAAGTATCGAACTCATTTTTTTCAATATAGAGAAACAGATACAGATGTGTGTGGATGTGGATATGTATACACATACACATATAATACACATACATGTATGTGTGTGTGTGTGCGCATATATATGAATAGTACATATATCTACTTACTAACTCTGCTGGAGGGCCTAGAAGTGACACCCACACCCCAGTGGCAATAAGTGTATCTAGCATTCTGGTCTTGGTTTCTAAATAACATTCTCCTCCAAAACAGACCAAAGCTTCTTGAAGAAATGGCTGATTATAGGGCTGGGGCATGGAAAGTACAAGATGAGTCTGGAACATAGTCTTGTGCCAAAAGTAAAGAAGTGCTAAAAATGATGGGGACAGGGGAGGAAGGGGATGGTGGGGGAGAGGAATGATGGGAGATATGTTAAAAGGACAGAGAAGCCAGCAGGGCTCCTACTGGCCAAATCTGGAATAATTTAAACACCAAAATAAATAATGATAGTAAAGGTTTAGAAACCATTAAATAAGAATTCACATGTCCACGCTGAAACAAACAAGTAAATAAATACATAAGGGAGAAAGGAAAGTTCTTACATATAAGAGAAGGCCAATTAATACATTTAGAAGAAATGATGGAGCTAGAAAACATCCATTTTGCAATTATCATGGTAACTGATTTAGGGAAGAATCACCAATGGGAAACTAAGACTAGTGAGGGGAAGTTTGAGGTGTAAAAGGATATTCACCTAGTCACAAAGTAGAGCTCCACAAGACACTACAAAAGGAAAAGAGTAGCTACTTAGGAGAAGCTAGGTGGACAGAACCTAGCTAACTTAAAGTATTCAGAGTTTATGTTGCCAGTAATAAGAGAAATAAGTTTCATGTGCTTCCTGATATTACAGACTGAGAAGATACAGTATAACTTCTAACATCACATGTAATCAGGAAAAACTATCCGACAACCCCATAAATATCCCATAAGATAACCAGCATGTACTCTTTAAAAATAGAGATATAAATATTAAGGTTATAAAACACAAAGACTGAGGAACTGTCGCAGATTAAAGGAGGCTAAAGAGACATGACAATTGAATGCAATGCATTATCCAGAACTTTCTTTTCTTGTAAAGGATATTGGGATAACTGGCAAAATCAGAATAAATTCTACAGATTAGGTTAACAGTATTATATCAATGTTAATTTTCTGATTTTGATAATTGTGCTATGGTTATTAGAATAGCTTTGATTTTAGGAAATATACATTATTTAGAAATAAAGAGGCATCATATTTCAAGTTACTGTCAAATAACTTAGGAAAAAGAGAAGAAAGCAAATACAGTAAAATGAAACTGTGTCCAAAAAATAATAATAATGTATATATATCTTTAGACGGAACAACTATCTAAGGGTAAACATTTTCCAATGATTTGACCTTTCCCAGCAACTCCTGGGGCAGATAAGCTTTTCGGGGCTTAAAAAGAGACCCAGTCTGGCTCAATGTCAACACGATGGCTCCTCCGTGCTGAAAAAAAGGAAAAAAAGCCAGATTAGAAAAAGCTGAAAAAGACAGAAAAATGCATTTTAATCATCTGCAGATTTTTTTTTCATGGTTTGTATATTTTTTTAATTTAATTTTATTTTTTTAACATTTTTTATTGATTTATAATCATTTTACAATGTTGTGTCAAATTCCAGTGTTCAGCACAATTTTTCAGTCATTCATGGACTTATACACACTCATTGTCACTGCAGATTTTTTTTTTGTCTTCAGTGGTATAGCAGTGTGGTTTAGCACAGTTAAATGGCAACAATAACTTGGTTATTAATTCTAGATTTGGCTCTGACAGTAAATTGCTACAGGATCTTAAATTTATCAAAATCCTTTCCAAAGCTGTTAAGAAGATAGAAAAACACCTTGAACAATTGCAGGAAAGTAACATTATGCCAATAGTTAAATAAAATGGTTTTGAATAAGTGTACTCCAGTCAAGTGGAAATATAAGAAACCAAATATGTAGATTTAAAACTTGGTACAGTTATGGGAATTAAGTAAGATATGAGAACTTTCTATCTAGAAAATTAGAAATTGGTATTAGCAGTGAAACAGTCCCATATCTTTAAAATGAAAATACACTTCTTTCTGAAATGTGCTAGTCATCATATGCACTCACCCAATCATTTTTCATCATCTTCCTCAGGTTGTAAATAAGTGCTAGTTCTTCCGGGGCAATCTGCACGTTGGTCAACATGTGAGAGAGAAAGCGAGAGAAGGAGGGGCAGAGGAAGAGAACAGAACATTACTTGCTTTGCCTGGATGCTCCCCTGAGACAACTGAATTGACAACTAAAAAAAGTCCTCAACTACTACACAACCATAGTAGCTGACGGTACCACCTCTGGGCTAAGCTGTGCGGCCTCCAGCCCTCCAGCTGCAGTGCTCCTGAGATTAAAACCCATCACCAAGGGGGAAACACCCACTGCTCCCAAGCCACGCCCTTCCTTGGTGCTTCTGATCTTCTCTGCTTAGAAGAAAGAAAACGTAGCTTTTGCCTGTCATGCTCTTTTCTAAATACCGTCCCTTGGTATTCAGTGGACAATGAACGTGGCATCACCTTCTTCTTCCGACACTACGTTCACTATGTATCTTACTTCAAATATTCCAAGGCAAGAAAACATATGTCCCAGCCTACATATATGATGGTACCAGAAATCAGAGAAACCACAACAGAGAAACTCAGTTTTCCCACCGGACTTTTATCTTCTCTTTTCAGTGTGGTCCTTCCCCAGAGAGCATTGACTCCATCCACTGCCACCAGGAGGTGAAAAATACCCAAAGAACTTTGCTTCTTCAGCTCTTTGAGCACAATCCCAACTGCATCTGTGGCATTCCTCACTCGCATTATGCCCTGTAGGGAAAGAGAGACAGTGGCTTGCAGACCTCAGGAGGCTGTCTCTGTTATGATGTAGTACACGTTCGGTGTCTTATTTTAATACCTGTTCAACTACTTCTCCCAGAGGACTGCCTTTCTCAGTGCTTTCTCGCTTATTCCAGACATACTTCTCTTGAACTTTTATCTAAAAACAAAAACCAAAAAAGGATACTTAGCCTAAGGATGAAACCATTTCTAGCTAAGAAGGTAGGACGCTAAGGTTGTTAGCAGTCAGTTTTAATCTATTTTTCAAGCCTTGTATGAGACCTCAGCAGGAAAGTGAATGCCTTCGAGCCCATTTCTGCCTGAAGTTCAAAAAAAAAAACAGGAATTCTGACTAAAAAGTCCAGGATGAAGCAGCCTTGTCATCTGCATTTTTAAGAAGCTTGTAGGTGATGCTCATTTAAATCAGAGTTGAAAACCCCTGGCTTAGAGATTGAATCCAAGAACCACTAGAGTAGAGGATAATTTTAAGAATACATTTCTGGTTCTGAAAAGGACCTAATCTGGAGAAAACTATGTAGCTGAATATGTGCTTTAAAGGATTTTAGGCTGTAACCTTGGAAGAGTCAATGAATCAATCTGGACTTCACTATGCTACTCACAAGATGGGAACAGCTTACTGTTGCCTTTTTATTTCATATGGATAAATGAGTTTTAGGGTATGAACTTATTGTTAATAAAATATATGAAAAAAAATGGTATAGTTATCCCAACTACATTATTCGTTCTCCATAGTCTACTGGTACTCTGGACACAAAGGAGATAAGATCTTAAAGATTATCTTGCACCAAACTTCTGGGAATCTAGTCACCTGGCTCAAGAAACGCTCATTTGTTGTTTTGAAATTCTTCAGCCAGACTGAAGCCTCTACAGGTTGATCAAAGCGCTGTTTGTTGTAGGTGGACTGCAGAAGACTGTGACAGTTTTTCACCCAAAGATGAGCTAAAAAAAGGCAAAAGAAAACAAACTAGGCAAGAACTGTGTTCAATTCAAAATACTTTATGCCTCTTAAGTTATGGGAGATGACTTTAGTTTCCCATATATATTTCTGAAACCCTTCTTCCTTCAGAGGTTTACTTTTTCGTCTGGTCCATCTTAGTTTTACATATATATACACACACACACACACAAATTATATTTATATATATATTTATGAGGGGTGGTAATTGGGTTTGTTCATTTATTTCTATTTGGAGGAGGTACTCGGGATTGAAACTGGGACCTCGTGCATGTCAAGCATGTGCTCTATTACTTGAGCTATATCCTCCCCCAATCTTAGATTAAATATTATCATTACAACCAATACCCAAGGTGTACGAAATGGATTAAAGTTCACCTCAGCTTCCTGGCAGTTTTTAAAGATAGTTTGGAAACGTGGATGCACATAACACTGAACAAAACAAGGAGCGATATATTCGAAGTATGAGAGCTTAAGTTTCTAAGATCCATGCTGACAACCTAGAATGCCAGTAAGCAGCCACATCAGAGGCTCTGTGGATACTCAAAATTGTTGGCTGATGGCAATAAAGTCTGGTGACCTTTACGGTGGGAGTTTATGCTCTCGGGCAGCACCTATCAAAGTGAGGACTGCTGGGCTAAAACTTCATTCTTATTATCAAAAGGTTCCAGAACTAGCTCAGACCAATCTGCATCTGGAGCAAAGACCTTTCCCTTAGTCATCAGAACCCTGTCAGAAAACTGAAGCCACAACACTACCACAATAACAAACTAACCCCGACATAGTGAGGTTAGGAAGTTCTTACCATCAGGAATATGCAGTATCAGCCAGGCCTGTTTTGCACAGAAATGAGTAACATGGCAAAGACTGAGGGTTTTTCCTGTTCCCTGCTCCCCATCTAAAGCACTTGTTAAAGAGAACATTACGAAAAGGAACACTTTGACTGTTAACAAATAAAGCATTTCTTCTTTTCCCACGTTTGAGGGAGGAAAGCATTGACTCAGCTGGCCCAGGCAAGCAGGAAAGGATACAGAGAACGTATCGTACAGCTGGATGAGCAAAATTGGTGTTTTTCAGGTAATGCAGAAGCTCTAGGGCTGGTTTCCTTACCATCAGGCAAGCTTCATTGAATGTCTTCACCTAACAAAACAGGGAAGGAGAAAGGAGAGGGTGGGGTGTGCAACTTCTAGCCAGCTCCTGGTATATACATTGAGCCTAATATAAGAACCACATCATCAAAAAAACAAAAAAACCACAACATCAAATTGCCTATTTTTCATTTATTCAGTTAGGTGAGGGTGGGTCAGTATTGAACTTGAAAATCTAGCCATATAATTTAGCTAAAATTACACCAAATAAATAGTCAGCTTTTGATTATTTCTGTAAATGAAGCACAGATATTACATCAGTTAACTGAAATCTACAAATAATCCAGACACCTCATAACATAACTATGTTTACCACTTAGGGTTGATATAAATTTTAAAAGCGTGTAAAATGTTTAACAAAGTACCTGACACATGGTAAGCATCATATTAACTGTTAATTCTTTAAAATTTATTTTTAGTTAATTCTTATTACTGTAACCATCTAGACTTTTCTCTAGAACTACAGACACAGTAACTCAGGAGCAGGTGACCAGCTGTCCCACAGCTATGAGGCCATACCTGACACCACCAGCATACAAGACACACCAGAGAACTGACATAAAATTCATTCGCTTTTTACCACCAGGAATCCTTTGGTGGAAAATTTTGGGAAGCACTGATACATGTGAAAGTGATTTGCAAATAAAGTATTCATGATGTCAACTGATAAGAATAAATATCTAACAAATACTATTCACAAGTATATTAGATAAGGATTAAAACACTTGGTATTTTTTAAAGAATCTAAACAGTTGGATTGCAGAAGGATTTTGACAGGTAAATCCAAACTTAATGGAAAGTGAAACCTTCAAAAACATGATAGATATTAAAACAGAAATGCCATATGAGGCAATATGACAGTACTAAAATGCACCAACAATGGTGAGGGAGTTGGTCTTCACATATGGAAATTATGGAAAGAATGTATGAGTAATTCCCTCCAAAGCACTGGTGGTTAGGCCATTCGGAAAACAACTTGAAATAAATTTAGGCCCTCAAAACCAGGAAGCTAGAGATTGTACTGTCTTAGAACAGTTTAGAATACCAAGGGGGAGGGTACAGCTCAGTAGTACAGTGCATGCTTAGCATGCACAAGGTCCTGGGTTCAATCCCCAGTACCTCCATTAAAAATAAATAAGTAAATAAGCCTAATTACCCTCCCCCACCACTGAAAAAGAAAGAAAGAAAGAAAAAAAAACAGTTTAGAGTACCATTACAGATTATTTCTTCCAGTTGTGTCCTATTTCCAAATTTTACGAAATTTTTGATGACAAGGCTGTCTATGGTCTAGTGTTAGCTCCCTTACAGGTGTCTCATCTAACTTCTTGAAATAAAGCACACTGAAGAAATGACATCCTCTGGCTCCTAAGCTAAAAATCACCTGCACAGTCTAGTTTCATATCTCAATAAGGAGTAATTTCTGAGGCTGAAAATAATTGAGCAGGAATTAATCAAAAGAACCAATTATACCAATAAACTATGCTTGTAGTTAATTATGAAATCGTTCAACGGCTATAAAGCAAACCCAAGATTACACTCTTTGAGTTGAAGTTATGACCACAGAACTACATTTTCTGAAAATCCATGAGACTGGAAAAGAACAATGAATGATGCATCTAATCCAAATATTTCTATTTGACTCAGGAATATATTACGTTTTTGCTTTTCTATACATACAAACTGTTTTCATGATATTTTGCTAAGCGAAGTATTAAATTCATTTTTATCAATTATTTGAAGGCTGAAGTTTCTAGATATCAGTTGGGAAACACAAGGAAAAGAGTGGGATATTGCTTATTTACTCAAGATTTTGCCTGGCTCCAAAAAGGATTTAAAGTGGTTACCTGCAGATAAGCATTTACTTAAAATAATTATAGTAACAGCACTATTCACAAGAGATAATCAATAGCTGAATTTATGGGTTTTTTTTTAAAGATTCAAGTTAAATCTTTCATAGTTTTCTACTAATTTAATCCCACCCCTCTGCTATCAACAGCTTGTATTTTGAGCTCCCTCCAATTCCCTCCCCTGTTTTGAGCACCTGCATTACAAAGCGAGAAGGCAAGCCATGGGGGAATACAGTCTTCAGATCCTGGAGGGGTATGCTGTAGTGCTGACCCTCATGCTGCTCCCCATGCTTGGCCTATGAGATAAAAATGCAAACAGGTATAATGGATAGAGTGACAAAGATTTTAAAAAAGTAGAAAGGGCCATCTAGACCATACTGAAGAAACACTTCTCTCTCAGAGCTGGGAAAGACATCTTTCATTTCTTATCTTAAGACAAAAAAAAAATGCTCATTGTCCCAAAATTCCACAGTGCATATATAAAGCTGATGTTGGCCTAAATGATGAAGCCAGTTGCTCAGCAACGTAAACCCTAGATGTGGAGGTAGCAGAGACAATTCTTGCCATCTGGATTCTTCTGTGCTGTGTATAGGGATGCTCCAGTCATGTGACGAGATCATCTGCATGCCGCTGTTTCCATAGAAACCCCAGAGGAACTGGCAGATAAAGGGACTACAATTACAGGGAAAGCAAAAAGGCACTTCAATGACTTCATTCACTTATTCTATTTCATTTTGTGCTTGTGAAAGTAGATGAAGGCTAAAGACATAAATAAAATACTCCCTGCTGAGATGGTGTTTGGGTAACGAGTTATTTTTCCCCCTTCCACACAGACAGCATATATTAAGATGGGGCAACTCAGAGGGTAGGGGTAGGGACAAAAAGGGAGAAAAAAGCTATGGGTTCCCTTCACATTTAGCACAGATCACATAACTCATTTCATTTATGAGAGGCAACAGTAATACTGGGGAAAAAGAAATCAACCTCTAGCCCTATGGAACCTGAAGCAGACTGATTTCTTTAGGATTCTCCATACTATGGTTCGTTGTCTATGGCTGGCTACCCATTTCTGTAAGTAACATTTTACTGGAACACTGCCACACCCATTGGTTTATAGCAGAGCTAAGTAGTTGTGACAAAGACCACTTTGGCTTATATGCCTAAAATATTTACTATCTCGTCCCTGAAGAAAAAGTCTGCCAACTCACCATACAGTAAGATCAATAACAACTACTAAATTAAATTTCTAAGGAATTGACTTATTTAAGTATTTACTATGTACCAACTCTATGCCAAATAAAACCCTTGGCATGGAGTGAGTTCAATGGTAGGGATTAAATCGGAACAGATGTGGACTGACCTTCTCGACTTATATTACCACAGTATTAGGGATGGGGAAGATCTGGGTTCAATAATGCTATCTGAGGTACTCTGTCTGATACATGTAAATCTGCTTAGCTTCTTTGGGTTTCAGTTTTCCTGACATGTAAAATGTCACAGGCAACACAAATGATAAGCCCAGAAAAAAATCCAATCCATATACACATTAGCAACTCACCGGATCATTTTCACTGGTACGGGAAATAGCTCTGGGACTCTCTGGTGGAACCTGGTTATCTAGGTGAGCAGCAAGGCTTTGGGGTGCCTGGGTCCCCATGTGCAAAACACGTCCAGGGTCCAACTATATAAAAGAAACCACTTTAGTGTTTTGAAATTATTAGGCTTTTTATGCTTACTACAACA